TACCAGGGATCAAACTCAGGTCCTTGCACTTGCGAGGCAGGTGCTAGAACCGAACTAAATCCCTGGTACAACATCAATTTTTTTTTAAATGATGCCTGAAGTTACTCTAGTATGCAGACAAATTTTTTAAATTGGTGCTATAGATGCTTGTTTCTCAAAGTGATCTTCAAACCATCATCTTCACCTCACCTGAGTAAGTTAGAGTTTTTTTGGTCCCCATCCTGGATCTATTGAATCAGAACCTGAATTTTAATAAGATCTCCAAATGGCTCACAAGCATATAAACATTCAAAGAAGATTGCAATGGAATGAATTCGTCATAAACAGTTTGCCTCCCTGTATTTAATAATCTCACAAGTACAGAATACTTTGCCAGTGTCTCTTGCAGCTAGAGCCTGTGTGTGTCACCTACACAGGACCAGTGATGTGCACTGACCCTAAATTTTGAGCAGGAGACTAATGATTCCTTAAAGCAGAGACTGCAAGAGAATACATTTTGGAGAGCAGTGCTCTAAGCACCAGCAACAGCAACAGCATCTTGAACTGCATTTATGCAAACTGTGATGTAATTCAGGGCCCAGTGGTGGTGGCTGAGACTTCTTTACTGGATAGTTCTCCAGCGTGATTTCATGTGTCATTATGGGAGACATATACTTTCAACTTGGTTGTTCAATCCTTTTTGACACCTTGTGAGCTATCTACTAAAATTTAATAAATTCCTTTCCTGCTTAAATTAGCCAGACCTTCTGTACCTATTGCTTGGCTGAAATAGGTAATGAACAAGGTTGGTCAAAGTATTTTTAAGGTTAACAGCTAAAACACTTATGTTTTATGACTCGTTGCACTGCGATTATGTAAAAGAATGTCCTTCTCTTGCTTTGAAACTTTTGTAAGTTTCCACTACTTTCACAAAAGCCTTGTGCCAGTGATGTTTTGTGAGGCATTATCAAGGGAAGGGCCTAGTTTCCTTCTCTTTTGTAACATGGTGTAGATATGGCTTGTTTGCTGGACCACAAAATAATTCACAGATGAAGTGATTTATCAGGAACAGAGGCTTGGAGCCAGAAGCAACCTAGAAAAGCATAAATTATACTCTTAGAATTTTCAGAGAGCTAAGAAGAATTATGTTCTTTTTCTACTGAATATAAACTAGGGTTTGAGCCAATTCTATCTAAATTTCAAGGTATGATGCCTCATTTTCTACTTGATTTGTATCATATGGTCCAGCATAGCAACACACATCTAACACACACTTGGACATATTTGCAAAGCAATGTTGTGTAAGCTGTGCTTGCTCACCTTTAACCCTAGAACCTGTACAATAATCTGTTAACTCAACACTTAATCTCCTAAGAAAGTCATCTGAATTTTGGAGTTGATTTGAACTAAGCTTACCTAATGTTAATAATGGCCTTGTACAACTTGTTTCATTGTGTAACTCTGAAAAGTGATTGACTTGGAGGTGCTGGGGATTTAGCTTACTGGTGCTTACACCTGCCTTGCAAGCACAAGGTCCTGAGCTCCATCTCCAGTACCAATAAAAAGAAAAAAAAAAGTAACCATGGAACATGGTAGCACATGCTTGTAATTTCAGCCCTCTGGGAGGCTGGGGGAGGAGGATCTTAGTTCAATCACACAGCCTGGGCAACTTAGTGACTTAGTAAGACCCTGTCTCAAAATTTAAAAAAGGGGGAGCTGGGAATGTAGCTTAGTGCAAAGGCCCTGGGTTCAATTCCCTGTAACACACACACACACACACACACACACACACACCCGAAAACCAGTACTGACAATAGGCACTGA